TCTTTTTCTATATTCATTGATTCAAATTAATTAAATTCCATGTTGGTTCATGTACACCATCTTTGTTTAAATGTATATAAATTATTATTTTTCTATATCTATTAATTCAAATTAATTAAATTTCATGTTGGTTCATGTAAACCCTCTTTTTTTAAATGTATATAAATTATTATTTTTCTATATCTATTAATTCAAATTAATTAAATTATATATTCATGAATCAATTTGATTGTTCTCATACAATTTAATTATTTATTTGCGTGCATGTTTAATCATTAATATTCAATTAAATATATATTGAAAAATAAAAAATAAGGTACTATTAAAATAATTAAATTGTAGTAGGGCTAAAATCAACCAGAAAATGATTTTCACTTGATGCGATATTTAATATATTATAGATGTATTATCAGTTGATTTTTGAACAAAAAAACTTTAAATCTTAATTTATAATTAGGAACTTAAGAACCAAGGATGACTGTAATTTCCACAAACTTTCTTATTGGATGAATATTCAACCGTCTAATTGAAAAAAATGATAAATCAACCAATAAAAAGAGACACAAACTTCAATTTTAGTTTATATGCAAAACTTTGAACATTTTATTGTTTTTATAAAATATATTTTTTAGTGCATAGTGCATCATAATAAACATAATTGGACAATAATGAATAATTTTTCTCTATTATTTAAGGTATCGTTCAACTCACTTTATCAATCTTAAGAAGTCTACGCACAAAATAGGGTCTCAAGAAGTAGAAGAAAGTTATACTAACTTTCTACTCCGTTAATATGTTTTAGGTTAAATTATCTAAACTTGATCCAACATTTAATGGAAATATAACACAAATTGAACTTTCGACCAAACCTACACAAAATTTACGTTAAACATGTAACGTGTGTTTCACGACAACTAATACAATTTACGTTAAAAGTGGAAAACTCCCGGAAGAAGATTGGGCTTATCCCTTTTATTGACTTGTTTGCACCACATGATCAAACATCATAGGAATGTCTAAAATTCAAAGATGGTCCTACCAGTGGGCTAAACTAAATTTAGAAGCTTCTGTGGGGAATGTTGGTTCTGTCAAATCAGAAAGAGTATATTATTATCACATAGTGTGGGTTCTCAGTGGAATTCAAGAAATTTTTGGATTGTGCAGAAATTTCTCTAGAACATGGCCAGGTTTGTCCACGGGATTTAATCCAGATTCGTGCATGTAGTGCCTAAAATCATGACATTTTGTTCGTCAAGTCAAATGATTTGAAATGAGATGTCCATTTTCTTGATTTAACTAGACTTATTATTTTCCGAATGAAGACATGCATGTCTCCACATAAATATATGTGAATAACAAAATATTGGACAGTGGTTTTGGTTTTGCA